GGTCTTACCCCATGGTAAGTTGTGGAGCATCTCTGATTGTCCCTGCAAGTAGAAATAGCATATGTTCAAGAAGGGGAAACTCCTATTTCCAGTGATTGAGATTGTCTTGTGATAAAGTAGCTGCTTTAGGTTGAATTCTGTCTCCTTAAAATTCATACATTAGAACTGGGTTAAAAGCACTGACTGCTCTTGCAAAGAACCTGGGTTTGTTTCTCAGAACCCACATGGTGACGAACAGCTGTCCATAACTCCAGGTCTAGGAGATACACACTGTGGTGGGTCTCTGTTCTGCAGACTGATTACCAGTAAAAGATTGACGTTATTTAAGCATCTAGGTTTGTGGTGATTTGTTAAGGTAGTAACAGAAAACAATGCAGAAGGATCAGTTGTGACACAGCAGAGTCACAACTTGCCAGTCGTATTCTCTAGCAGAGGGAAATGGCTCATGTTCATTTCCTCTGTTATATACGACTCTCCCCTCTTACCCAAACACCTACATACACCACTAGCTTTTCTGAGCCACACATGACACACTCCAAAATGCAGCATTGCTAGGTGCCCAGGCAGGTCTGTTAGCAAATTAGCTGTGATACTCATATTTGGAAGATGGGATCTGTGATTAATATCTTGTCACAGTTTGATAACCCTAGAACAAGATACCTGTGGGACCAGAATTTCTTGCTTCTTACAGGTTGATGTAAAACCTCTGCATTCAAAGTAATTAAGCTAGAAAAGTCAAGAAAATCTGAACTATATTGAAATAGGAATCTCAATATCTCTCAAAATATTGCCCTCTGCTTTCTTCATCTCTACACTTATTTAATGCTGCCATCTAAAACCACCTAGGATGTTATTAGCACTGGTTCAGAGTTTTGAGGCCATATTAACTCATTTATCTCCTATTTCTGCCTCTAACTCTACCTTGCATTCAGTCCTAAGTTGTATGACTTCTACACTCGTACTGTCTACACGTGGCATGGACCTTTCCGTTTCTCCTCCCTTTTCTGACAAATAGTCTTCCTGAAATGTGGCGCTGGCTCTGTTACTCTCTTGCATGTAACACCACAGCCTGTTCAATCCAGTTTACATTTCTCACTCACTCTGGCATTACGAGGCCCAGAGACTCATTCTGTTACTCAAGATAGGCTACTTCCAAAAATGTCTGCCTCCATTTCATGCTCTGCCAGGCTTCAAGGCTCATGGTTGTTGCCTTTTCTCGGTGAAAATGTTTCTGGTCTCTCCCCTTTCCTTCCTCAGATAATACTGTTCCTGTCGTACTGATTGTTGGAAAGCCTGGATTGGTTTAAAATGAATTTCAAAGGTACCATTTGGTTTTGCAGTAAGCTTGCTTAATCACTTATTGTTGTGGTTTATTAGAAGTTAAGTTATAGCCCACAAAGGCTATGTCAGTATGTTTGCATAGGAAGGAAGCATCTCTGATGTCTGTGGTATGGGAACTATTCATTTAGAGGTTACCACAGCCTGGACTAATGTTCTAGAGGTTACCACAGCTTGGGCTAATGTTCTAGAGGTTACTACAGCCTTGACTAATATTCTAGAGGTTACCACAGCCTGAACTAATGTTCTAGAGGTTACTACAGCATTGACTAATGTTCTAGAGGTTACCACAGCCTGGACTAATGCTCTAGAGGTTAACACAGTCTGGACTAATGTTCTAGAGGTTACTACAGCCTGGACTAATGTTGTAGAGGTTACCACGGCCTGGACTAATGCTCTAGAGCTTACCACAGCTTGTACTAATGCTCTAGAGGTTACCGCAGCCTGGACTACTGTTCTAGAGGTTACCATAGCCTGGACTAATGTTGTAGAGATTACCACAGCCTGGACTAGTGCTTCATGACTCAGGTTTGGTAAGATGTTATGCCGACTTCCATTCACAATCTTATTTTAGAACATGACATTGACGTTGACATAAGAAGAGACATGTATGTAGGGAATGGGTAGAGAGGTTCAGGAGCAGATAAGTGACAACAGAGTTCTAGGGAGGAAAGGACATCAACACAGCCAGTAGCAGAGGTGCAGACTTGTGATTTCTGTACCTGGGAGGCTAAAAATGATTGTTGTAAATTGAAGGCAAGCCTGGGCCAGATAGCGGGTTTCAGAGCAGCCTAGGCTGTTATGTGAGTGCCTTTATCTAAAAATCGATTCCCAGCACTCGCATGGTGGCTATGAACCATCCTTAACTTCAGTGCCAGGGGAATCCGAAGCCCTCTTCTGACCTCTGCAGCATTGCACGACACGGGTTGCACTCACATACATGCAGGCAATACACTCATACACATAAAATTAAAAAAAAAAAGATATTTTTTAAAAAGAGAAATACATATGTGATTTATGTGAACAGTATCAATAAAAGATATAGTATAATATACCTACTTTATGTAAAAGTAAATGAACAATATAAATAAAGGAATTTAAGGTACAGATTATAGATGAGAAATATGGAGCTATATATGGTTTGTCACTTGCCCAACTGTGTGACTTTGGGTGGGTCCTGAGTCTTGCTGGGTCTCAGTTTCTCAGTCTGTAAACTGGGGATAGCAACCGTGCATCCAGTTCCTTTATATAGAGGTGTGAGTGCTACCTGAGTTTCTAAGTTTAAAAAGAAGACAAAGGGGCTGGAGAGATGGATGAGTGGTTAAGAGCACTGGCTGCTCTTGCAGAGGGCCTGGGTTCAGTTCCCAGCACCCACATGACGACTAACAACTGTATGTAACTCCAGTTCCAGGGGATCCGATACCCTCTTCTAGCCTCTGTGAGCATTGCGTGCATGTGATACACTTACATACACACAGGCAAAACACTCATACACACGAAATATGAATAAATAAAAATGTAAAAACATAAAAAGAAGACATGAGGTTGGAAGAGAGATAAGGGGTCATTGGAGGAGGTAGAAGGAAAGGAGTGATGGGCGATATCATCAATATACATTGTATAAATATATGAAACATTCAAAGAATAGAAAGCATTGTTTTTTTAAAAAGCACCCAGGACAGGTCTGCTGCATCATGAGCCTTCCTGCTATGAGGTGAGGAGGGGCGCCTTGTTTCCTGTCCAAAGGCAGCTCAACATTTCTTTCCTTATCTCTGTGTCATTCATTTGTTTGCTTGTTTGTTTATTTGGGGGAGTTGTGCCATGACTTGTCTGTGGAAGTCAGGGACCACTTTACCATGTGGGCTCCGAGATGGAACTCCAGCCCTCAGGCTTGTCAGCACGTTCTCCCCTCAGACCCCTCCCCACCGCCTCTCATCCATCTCTTTTCATCTATTCTGACAACTTCCCAGTAGTCTTTCTTTGTCTTCCTGCCCCTTGCACCTCAGTTTGTGTTTTGAGGTGTGTTGTTATGTCAAGGAACTTTCTGACCTTGCAGGCAGCTATTTGTTAGAAATAGTTTTCCAAAGTACTTACTTTCTTTCCTTCAAGTTATCATCCTGTTCATTATTCACTTACTGTGAGCTCACCTTTCACCTTTGCATGTCATTCGTGTATTTTCCTCTTACACATCCTTAAAGGAGGCAGTGATTCTCAGGAGTTTCTGGGGTTAAAAACCAATTTAATAATTGTTTGAAGTAAGTGGTTAAAGTGGAAAGCCATAAATGTCTGTATTTATTTGGAATCATTTTGTATAAACTTAAATCATATAAACATATATCATATACTTATTTTAAATTCAGACCCTAGGCTCTTTTCTGAGTGTGACTGATTTAGACCCTCATTTTTATCTTTCACCAGCCTTGTCCCTATGTAAGATTTTGATTTCTCTTTAAGTGAAATGGGAACTCACAGATCCTCACAAAGCAGACAGTAGAGACTAAATTTCTGCGTTTACTTTCTGTGGATTTGCAGTTCTCAAATTATTTTGACAGCAAAGCCTTCAGTGACTATGCAAAGCACTGAACTTGTGTTTTATAGAAACATCAATTTCATACTTTCTTGCTCATATTTTATTGGTTTATGTCACACCTAATTACAAAATTATAAGTGCAACTTACCAAAAGATAGGTTGCAGTAACCATGCCGAATCTGATGAACATCAATTCAACTAGTAACAAAGTTGAACAGAAAGTTCAAATGAGTTGCCTTTGAGGCATGAAGGTTATGTTGTGGGTGCACTGGCATCTAAGCAAGGGCTATTCAAGGGATGATGGGAAGCATACATGAATCCACAGTGTCCGTTCAGTGGAACTCATTTAAGGGAATCTCCATCACAAAGGTTCTCAAGCACCTATGTACCTCAGAATTATCTGGAAGAATTGACTGAGTATGGATTACTGAGCCATAAGATAGAGATTCTGATCCAGGGTGATTGGGCAGGGCCAAAGAATGCATTTATATTTGTAGCAAGCTTCCAGATGATGCTGATTCTTCTGGTCATGGATGGACTTGGCAAACTACCAAACCATAGCCACCCTCAATGGAATGAATGGGATTGGACCCCACAAACATCAGTTAGCACAAGCCTGAAATCTGTCCTGTTTGTCCATGTGCCTCTACCCACCCTGTAGTAAACAATGCTCTGCAGACATTAGGTTACTTATACTCTTAGTGTTTGACACTGTGCTGAAATCTTTTAATATTGTATATATGAAATAGAATGGGTATTGTGTTGAATTTGTTTCCTGGGGTGGGGGTGGGGGAGAGAGAGGGAGAGGAAGAGGTAAGGAGAGAGAAACAGGGAGTTTATTTTGAAGTTGGAGGAATATTTGTTGAGGACTTTTAAAAGTTCTTCATGTTGACTGTCCCTGACCTTCTTGAGAGTCAGATAAAAGTGGTAGCTCTTGCAACCTTGCATGCTGTTTTCAGACCACAGGTCCACAGTCTCCTCAGTGAGGAAAACCTCCACTCTATGTGTAAGAACTTGTTTGGCAATAGTGTAGGCTGCAGGGTGGGAAGGCAGCGACGTGAGCATGCTGTCAGCATGCCGAGAACTGTGAGAAAGAGACAGATTATGTGATTGCTGTGTCATCTCCTTTCAGAACTGGCTGACGGAGCTGGAGATCTTTGCAATAATCTTCTCAGCTGCCATCCATGATTACGAACATACTGGAACCACCAACAATTTCCACATCCAGACACGGTGAGGAGAAGAGGCAGGAGGGGCCGGAGATAGGCTTTTAGAAGTCAGCGAGGTGTGCGCTGAAACCTTTCTGTGTGGTTGCTCTATTTTGCATTTCTGAAAAGATGAATTTATAAACGACAGAGACGCCCAGCTCCCTTCAGTGAATACATGGCATTTGAAAAGCTGCCTGCTGTTATCTCTCATATTTTATTCAGATCTGACGTGCATCTTCTTTTCTGCTCCATTGTAACGCTCATTCATTACTTACTTATGTTCTGTGTGCATTCCACCTACTTCAAAGACCCGTGGGTGCAGGCTGCACAGAGCCTTAGATGCAGCTCCCTCCTTGTGTAAGTTGAAGTGATCACTGCAATGCTGTGGGTGCTAACAGCTGCCTCTTGTCTTTGGGGTTCTGGTGTGATACTCTTCTGTGATCCTCTTTTTCCCCTCTCTGGGTTGATCTCTGTTCTGTCATGTGCCTGCAAAGCTCCCTGGCACAGGGCATGGGGAGTAGATTTTCTCTGTTGGCTCTCTGCATCCTTACTGATATACACAAGCCTCCTTTGGTGATACTAAACTTGGATCCAGTGTCTGACCCTAATCCATAACAGAAATCAGTAGCTAATTTTGGTGTCTGTGGATTTATCCCTATTTATTCCAAGTAAACAGTGAGAGTCAACTGTCGTTTCTACTTAGGTTGAACCTTATCTTTCTCCTCCTGACCTAAAATCTCAGTCTCTTAAGACAGTGATGTGGAATGAGGAAGATGCTCAGAGTAGGGTAACCAGGCTTTGATATAAGAAACCAGCAAAACCTGGATTTGGAGAAAGGCACTTGACATTTTCACTGGAAAAAGCAGGTGCATGCTCCTGATAGATGTATGGTCAAAATAAGCCTACATACATCTCATGAACTCAACATGTGATTATGTGGTATGCAAAAGAAGACTGTCTTGTCTGCACCATTTTCAGAAGGGAATTGGAGTACACTAAAGAACTTAAGTTATTCTCTTTAGTTCTCATCCCTTCCCTAGTAGCATGGTCTGAGTTGTTGAAAGCAGCTTTCTGTTATCTGTTCCAAGATCTCTAAATGTGGGTGCTCCCCAGAACACTGATGGGGAGCTTTGCTCTGTGAACAGGAACTACAGAGACTCACAACTGCCCAGGGGTGGGACAACTGAGCATGGGTCTTGCTCAGAGACCAGTATCAAATCAATCAGCTTGTTGGAAAACTGCAGAATCATGGGAAGTGAAAAGGAGCTTAATGCCACAAAACATACATCCATTATACCTAACTTACCAACAGCAGAAGAGCATCTGTCAAAGTGCATTTGCATGTCTTGTATTCTCTCCACAGTGGTGGGATAATTCCAGTGGGTTCAGTTAAACTTGGTTTGGAATGAAATTTAAACATTGACCTATTGGCCTTTGACAAAACTTTATTCAGAACTCTGGGTCCAGTGCATCTGTTTAGAAAACTGTGTGACCAGGTCCTTCCTTTTTTGACAGATGAATGGCTAAGCCTACTATGTAAGGTATACTAGATTCATCCCAACATTTGGCCAATGGTAGGAAGAATTGGTATTTTAGGGGGCACTGGCCCTGCTGTCAGAAGACCTCCCTTCCGTTTGTTTGTGCCTTGCAACTTGGTCATCCTAGGTCTTTAACCTGTCTAGACTCAAGTCCCTAGATGAAAAGCAAATGAACTCTAGTAGTCTAAACTTTCATTAAATTAGAGACACTAAAATGGCACATATCCTATGTTTGGTAACATTCAATCCCAGAATAGTCTTTGAGGATATATGAGAGTATATGCCTTGCTTTGAATTATCCACATGTGGCTTTTCTGTGGAAAAAAATTTAAGATCAAGTTACTAGCAGAGGCAGCTTATAGACAGTGCTCACCAGGTGCTGTGTACTTAGAAAATTACAACTGTATGACTAAAACAAGTAAACCGGAACATTCACTGAATCAGATCAAAATTAAAAAAAAAAAAAAAAACATTCCAGAAAGCATATGGAAGTTTAACACTATTGGCATTTTAAAGCAACACTTTTGCCACTAGTCCAAGTAATAGAGATCTGGCTATAAAGCAGGCTTCAGGGTTCTCAGGCCAGTGTGCACATCACACCCCTATTCTGATAGTTAAAATTTTTACATGCTTCTATTGATGGTTTATAATGTTTAGTGTGAGTCTTTGTTCATCCAAATACAGTGGGAGCAAGGTCATTTCTAAACATAGGAAAGAGTGACAGCCTGAAGCTGTCAGAGTTAGCTGAGGGAGTCTCACCTGAAGGACATTGTCTGGTCCTCTGCAGGTCTGATCCAGCTATTCTGTACAACGATAGATCTGTACTGGAAAACCACCACTTGAGTGCAGCCTACCGCCTTCTACAGGAAGATGAGGAGATGAATATTTTGGTCAACCTCTCAAAGGATGACTGGAGGTAAGGATGACAAATTTGGAAGCCAGGATGGGAAGTGTGACAATAGATGAGGTGTGGTCTTAAAGAAGTAATACTGTGTAAACCTTGTGCTGTTGGCTCCCTTCCCTTCTCCCTCTCTCTTCCCCTTCAGTATGTATTACTCATTTTTTTTCTAGTCATAAATATTCCATGTTTGCATATAACATCTACAGAAGGCTATTTTTAGACTCCAACTATTTTGTTTTGCCACCTTTATATTGTTTCTCTAATAGTGAATTGGTAAACAGAACCAGTTTGAGTCAAATAATTCAAGACTGTACTAAAAATTCTTGAAGAAAATTAGACATTTCCCTTTCAACACTGTCTAGAGGAGGACACTTTAGAGATATTTGTGGTGTGTTACCTTAAAAAAACTTGCCTTAGGTTTAGCTGAACTTCTTTAATCTACATTTCATCAGTTAGCATTTAAAAAAAAAAAGCTTTATATCTGATTTGAGCTTCCCAACAATCTTTTGAAAATTCTGAGGGAATAATTTCAACATTAAAAGAAATTATAGTGAATGTACAAATATCTCTGCATTGGATATAGAGTTTTTTTTGGGTACATGCCCAGGAGTAAAACAGCTAGGTTACATGGTAGTTCTATTTTTAATTTTTTGAAGAACTTCCAGGCTGATCTCCATAACAACTGTACTAATTTGTACTCCCGCCAACAGTGAATAAGGTTCTTCTTTCCCCACATCCTGTCCAACATTTGTTGTCAGATTTCTTGATGATAGTCATTCTGTCTGGGGGTGAGATGGTGTCTCAATGTAGTTTTAATTTGCATTATCTGATGACTGGGGATGTTGAACACTTTAAAAAACAGTTACTGGCCATTTGTGCTCCTTCGTTTGAAAACTGTCTAGTTGGTTCATTAGCCCATTAGTTGACTTCCTAAATAGCAAGGAAATGGAACCAACCTTGGTGCTCATCGACGGATGGATGGATAATGAAACCTGACTGTATGACTGTATATGACTGTTAGCCTCTAAAGAAAGTTGAGATCATGAAATTTTCAAGAAAATGAGTGGACTTAGACTGTATAATAGAAAATCACTCAATCCCAGAGTGAACCACATGTTCTTCCTCATACTGGATCCCAGCCTAGAATACATGCACTACATAAAACTTGACTTGATAGCATAGCCTGTAACCCTAGCACTGACTGACAAAGTGGAGACAGGAAGGTCAGAATTTCAAGGTCATTCTCCAAGTACATAGAAAGGTCAATGCCAGCCTTGGGTGCATGAGACCTGTTCTGAAAAGCAAGCAAACATAAGTTTACTCCTTATAATAAATGTTTCTTTCAATGTCTTCTATTGAAAAGCCCTGATAAATATATAGAATTTACCCCAGGTTTTCAAGGTTAATTCAGCATTCAAAAATAAAATTTAAAAATTCACCATATTGAAAGCAAATTAGCAATAAACAAAGCCAACTGTGGTGATACACAACTGTAATCCCAGCACTCAGGAGACTGAGGTAGGAAGATTGTGAGTTGGAATCCAATCTGAGCTATATAGTGAGTTCCAAGCCAATGAGAGCCCCCAACTCAAAAACCTGTAACAACAGAAAACAAAAAAACCATGTAGTCATTTCAGTAGCTGTGTCCAAAGTATTGGACAAAAGCCATGACGCATTAAATACAAACTCTTATCAAATAGAAACACAAGGGGATGTCATGGATAAAAGGTACCTGTGTTAAACCCATTGCTAATGCCAACCTTTATGGAAGACTGGGAACAAAATTAGGATGCTGATCTTACATTAAACAGTGTTTCTGTTAGCAAATGATACCCAGTGACACATAAAAGCCTCAGAAACTAGAAGGCAGCTATGAAACTTATAATAACGAATTTTGTGAGGCCACTGAATGCAAAGTTAATGTAAAAGAAACAGGCTAGCAGCAAACCATTAGGAGAGTAATTTAAAAAAAAATCTTACATAGGGTGAGTGATAAAGAATCCAATTTAGTGAAATCAAAATGGAGAAATCTCAAAAACTAAAAATAGACCTACCATACGATTCAGCGGTTCCACTCTTGGGAATATGCTTGAAGGAATCTGTTGGTACATCACAGATATAGATGCCTGTACATCAAAGATCAGTATACACCAATACACCAGTGTTCACAGCAGTTGAGGTAAGAATCATCCTGGACATCGACAGATGAATGGATAAAGAAAATGTTCTATATACACAATGAGCTTTTTATTCATTTATTGATTTATGTGAGAAGTGGTTTTTACATGTCATAGCTCATGTGTTCACTCTTTCCACCATGTGAACCCCAGTTATCATACTCAAGTGATCAGGCTTGGCCACAATAAGCCACCTTGCCAGCTTCCACAATGGGATTTTATTCAGCCATAAAGAAGAATGAAATTACAGCTTTACAGAGAAATAGATGGAACTGGAGGTCATCATGTTAAATTGAATAAACCAAACTCAGAAAAACAGATATTAAACTTTTCTGTCATCTACAGAATCTAAATTAAATATACACACATATGACCTAAAGGGGGCCAGTGGGAGAAGAGAGGAGGAATGAAGGACAACAGGGTGGGGTGTGAGTATGGTCAAAGTACAGTCATAGTTGTACAGGAAAGCATCATACTGAAAATCATTACTTTGTATGCTAATTAAAAATTAATAAACAAAAATCCTTTATTAATAGCCCAATACGAAAGTCAGGGGTTAATGTCAGGTGTCTTCCCCTTCACTCTTACCCTTACTTTTCAAGGCAGGATCTCTTCACTGAACCTGGAAGTCACTGATGAGCTAGACTGGCCAGTCAGCAACTTCTGGTCTCCTCTTGTCTTCTTCCCCTTCTCCTTAGTGCTGGGAAGATGTGCAGTATCATACACAGCTTTGCACACAGAACTTGGGTCCTCACACTTACCTGGCAAGCACAGTACCCACTGATCCACCTCCTGGGACCCCTCATCAATTGTATTTTTACAGAGTTGCTAAGACAAATCAATGGGGAAAGGAAAATGTTTTCAGCAAATGGTGTTAGAAAAAAATGGGTATGTATGTGAAGAAGAGAAAAGAATTTTGACCTTTAACTCATACCATGCTAAACTCATCTCAAATTTGGCCATAAAGCAAAACAAAATCTAGGCAAGCTGAACTAGCTCCACTGGGAGAGCAGAACGAAACATAAGCTCTAGAATGGAAAGACTCAGGTGCAGAATCTAGCTCAGTGGGAGGCAGCCTGGGTTTGCTTCCCGGCACTATAATAAAAAGGATGATGATGGCAACAGTTCTAGAGAAAAGATAGCAGAAGTAGAGTTATTTCAGAACATAAAAAGTAAGAATCCTTTCTAAAAAAAAACAAATTTAATTTCATGAAAATGAAGCCTTTAGCTTTTTGCAACGTAGAAAATAGCACAAGCAAAGAAATTGGGGAAATTTGGACACGATACATCATCTTTTGGGGTTTGTTTCCAGACATTTAACATACTTTTATAATTCAATAATAAAACCAAAAAAAAAGTCACTCACTTTTTTAAAAGTAAAAAACATTGAAGCAGAAATTTTCTTTAAAAAAACAGTGTGCAAATGAAGTCCATGGAAAGGTATTCGCCATTGTGTTCATCAAGGAAATGCCAATCAAACCACAATGAGAAACCACCACATACCCACTAAAGTGACTAAAATTGAAAGTTGGCAAAAGAAAGCACGAAACAATTAGAACTTTCACATGCTTGTGGTCAAAATCTAAATGTATACAGTCATTTTGAAAAGATGACTGGCAATTTCTTATACAGTTAAGTGCTCAGTTACAGAATCAGCCATTTTGCTTCTAGATACTTGCTCTGTGTATATGAGTGTTATCCCTGCATGTGTGCCTATGTCATGCAATACCCACGGCGGTCGGAAGAGGGCATTGAATCCCCTGGAACTGAAGCTACAGAGTGCAATCTGCTGAACTATCTCTCAGCAACAGGGAACTGTTGGTGATGGGCTGCAGGATGAGTGACAAATCATTATACTCAGAAAGGAACTCAGACAGAAAGAGGACATTTAGTATTATATGTGTGCATACATGTATATGTGTGCACATACATGGGAGCATGTGTATAGACTAGAGTATATTTGAAAAGGTAGCATATATATACATAATATACTTATGTGTTTATCATTTCAATATACATTCATGCACATTGCTAATATATACATGCATATGTATATGGAGTATATGCACATATATGTAAAACTGGAGAGTAGGCCTGTTTTAAATGGACATATTTGATATGATTGCACTGGTGTTTTCTAAAGCTTATTCAGCTGTCAGAACTGGTTGAAACATACAATTGATATAGAAGCAGTTTATTCTATGTAAATTATGCCCCATGCAGTTTTTAGGGCAGTGAAAAGTCCAGTGGTTGTCAAGGATTCAGGGGCCATTGGAAGGGGTAAAGAGCATGGGGAATTGAGGACATTGGTACTCTTCTTCATGACGCTATAATGATAGACACATGGCATGATGTATTTGTCAAATCCCACAGACCTGTGCTGTGTGAGTGAGCCCTAGTGTAAGCTATGGGCTTCAGCTAAAGATGTAGCAATGCTGGGGGCTGGAGACATGGCTCAGCAATTAAGAGTGCTGGCTGCTCTTACAGAGGACCTGGGTTCAGTTCCCAGTACCACATGGAGGCACACAGCTGTCCTTAACTCCAGTTTCAGGTGATCCAATGTCCTCTTCTGGTCTCTGTGGACATTGCATAACAGGGGTGCACTCATACACATAAAAAATAAATAATATTAAAGTGAGGGACTCTAGATAAGCTGACTAGATCTCAGTAGATGAACTTACACTGAGGAACATCTAGGGACACTGGCTTGAAACACTAGGCCTTAACACAAATGACAGGATGTATGAATTCCACTGGGAGGGGTATGGGAGGGTGCCAGTGGGTACAAGGGTATAAGATGATTAAGATTGATTGAGATGTTCTTTATGAAATATACAAAAATTCAATAAAAGCAAATTTAAAAAAAAAAGAAAAAAGGAGTCAATGTATACATAATAGGAGTTCTAATGAAATATAACTTATAATGTACAATTATAACGAATGCACAACTGCATGCTCTGATAGATTGGGAACTCTTGACCTTAGGATAATAGCCCTACAGCTCAAATTTCAAATATGTAAGCGAGAAATTTATTAGACATAATACCTCATTTAAAATATTAATAATATTAAAGGTCCTGCAATATTTAAGCCTATTTTGCATTTTATTTAAATTTCCTTTATTTATATTGTAGAAATTATAGATAAGATAATTAAATCTGAAAATTTAATGTTAATAAATAATATTAAATGCACAAATTCTTCTTAAAGATTCATTTAAAAAGTTTTAAGGAAGCTTCACTGTTGAGAGTTGAGGGATGTATTAGGATTGTCTCTACTGTTCTCTGTTCCATGAGCCTTAGGTATAGAGGTTCCACTGTAGATGTGGGCTCTGCAGATGCACTGGTAATCTCTCAGACATGTATTCTCTGTCTGTGACTGGTTGTAGAACTCTGTAATAGCCTCCATTTGTTAAAAAACAAGTTCTTTGATGAGTGTACAGTATTGTCTGTAAATATAAGGATCCATATTTAGCATATAGTTAGAAATTTCATTTGTCTAGAGATAATGACAGAGATGAGTTTTCTATAGGATCTATGACCTCTCCAGCCATGTGTATTTGGCTGAGTTTACAGTGCCACCCATGAATTCCCTCCCATCGAGAGGGCTTTAAGTCCAATTAGATAGCTGTCGATTACCCCCTTGATAAAAGTGCCACTACTGCACCAATAGAGAGAGTTTGTTGTGTCAGTCGTTGTGGTTATTAGGCTTTACAACTGGGTTGGACCACTGATTGATTTTCTCCCTTAGCAGTTTGCATAGTATCCTCCAGAACTGTGAGAGCTAGTCTTCAGGGAGTGGCCTCCAGTTCAGTTCCAGCTCCATTGCTCCAAGTCCTGTGTCCAAAGCATGTCCTGTCTTCAGTAATAGGGTCTTTCCTTCAAGTTTTGGGAGGCAATCAAAGGTTGTAGTCTGTGTTATTTGGGGAGTCTCTTGGACTGCCCTGACCAATAACTCAAAGGGAGATTTCTCTGGGACTGTGTTTCTTCTTATATAGCCTTTAGGTATACAAATGCACTCATGTTCAGATATTGTATGTGTATTTTTTCAGGGGACGGGGATTGAGTTAATACATTTTCCTCTGGCTTTTCACACCACCTAAGCTTTATTTATCTCTCTTCTCTCACTCCTTGTCTAACCTCCCTCCTCCCTCTCCAGTTAAAGAACCCTCATTTTCCCCTTGATAATACCAGTCTCTCTGTTATCCTCCCTCTCCTGAGTTCCTTCTTCCCCTTTACCCCTATGGTTCCTTGTTTGTTCTTCTCTCTTCCCTTTCCAGTTGAATATCCCCACTTCCCCCTTGATAATATCTGTTTCCTACTATCCCCCTCTCACAGGCTCTTTCTTTCCCTTTACTCCATGGCTCCTTTCCATTTTCCTGGCTCCTGCTGTTACATCAGAATATATACTCTCATATCAACAAATGAGGGAGAACATGTGTCCCAGGCCCACACTTAGCCAAGGATGTTGACAACTGATATGAGGGAGAGTAATCTTCTTTAAGGAAGTGACTCTAGATAGGCTGATGAGATTCCAGTGGATGAACGTTCACCAAGGGACACCTGGGTACAAATCACTGGCTGGATATGCCTTAACATATATGACAGAATGCATGAAATCTGATGGGGGGGGCTATGGAGGTGTGGATGGGGGAGGGGGTCTAAATTTGATTAATATCTATGGTATGAAATGCACAAAAATTCAATAAAATATGCATAATTTTTAAAGTAATGATTCTGGTTCATCAATTGCAACAAGTGAACCACACACAAAGGTAAAATGTTTGTAATAGGAAAACTACATTATAGGGTATACCCTGCTCTGTTTTTCTTTAAACCTGAAACTTCTCTAGAAAATAAAGCCTGTTTTTAAAAGCTGGAATGCCCAGAACACCCATCTAGCTCCTAGGATCACTTTCAAGTTATGCCCGAGGGGAGTACTTGAATATAATTTTCACCTTTATTGGAATCTTTCCTGTAGATTAACTTTCCAAATGACACACATATCATATTCTTAATAAACGATTCTTGACCTTCATTTATTCCTTTCTAAAAATCTCACTGAAAAGACTCACATTAGCTTTGAAATGTCAGAAAGAATGAACTGACTTTGATTAGAAGTGGCAAAAAATAATTTGGTTTTCCTTTTTCCCTCTTTCATTCCTCTTTTGTATGGGTGACCCTGAAAGGGAGTTTCGAACCTTGGTCATCGAGATGGTGATGGCTACGGATATGTCTTGTCATTTCCAGCAAATTAAAGCAATGAAGACGGCCCTGCAGCAGCCTGAGGCGTGAGTGGGGCTGGGACATTGTTGTCTTCATAGGGGATTGAACTGAAAGTTGCCCATTTTGTAAATTGAAAGGGAATCGCCTTGAAGATAGCAATTGAGTGATCTCATGAAGTAGTGAGGCTTGGAGGGAAGGCAGTGAACACTATACAGCATCTCACATTCAGTTAGGGTTCATCAGAGCTGCAGTCAACACAAGCATGGCACCAATGTGCCCCATGTGTGAAGTAAGAGCTGCTTGGGTTCTTGTTATCCAGCCGAGTGATGCAGCCATTCCATAAGGGGTTTGAGGGTTCAATAAACACATAGATGTTCATTCTCCAACAGGACAGGTAATGAATGCTCTTTCCTCAATTCAAGTGGCACTTGGGGTAGAGATGGGAGAACAGATGGGGTCAGCAAGATTTCTGAAACTCTTCCCGAGTGTGGTCACCATGTGTTTGCATGCATTGTATTTGCAGAATTGAAAAGCCAAAAGCCTTATCTCTGATGCTCCACACGGCAGACATTAGCCATCCTGCGAAGGCATGGGACCTGCACCATCGCTGGACCATGTCACTCCTGGAGGAGTTCTTCAGACAGGTACCTTTGTGCTGTTCGGCACTCCTGGCATGGGGCATTGTGGGAGCCCAGCATTCAGCACTGCCATGATGAAGACTGTTCAAGACACAGTAATTTTCCTCAAGGAGCACGAGGAGGTGTTTTCAGCTTGTTTCTTGTGCATAGATACTTGAATTTTACCTAAGTTCTGAGTCTCAGGGTGTTATCAAATGCATTTCTTTCCTATGCATTTAGAAGGAAAAGTGTTTCCTAGTGCTAGTCTCCTGTAAAAGGCCATTTTTCTGATAGCCTTCTACCTAATGGATTTCCAGAAGGTCCTTTCTATTGGTGTTAGTCTAGGCTGTTAATCTTTGGTGTCTCTGCTCCAATCAGTTCTGTTTTCTTCTTTGGAATAGACAAGCCCATTACACATATTCCAAAATTAAGATGTGGAAAATTGGAGTTTTACACACTCTATAAATAGAGAGATCTCTGAATTCCATAAAACACCACACATTAACATGTCTCATCTTTGCCTCTTAAACTGACTAAATGTAGGCTCTTTCTCCTTGCCTTGGTCCATTTTCTGTTGCTATAACAGCATACCTGAGACAAGCTAACTTAAGAATAGAGATTTATTTAGATTATGGTTCAGAACCTGGAAGTCCAATAGCATGGCACTAGCATCTGATTAAGGGCCCTCTTGTTGCATCATAACGTGGACAAGGGCATCACAGAGCAAGTGCGCTACTTCAGGTCTCTTCTTTGAAGTCACTCATACCTTCATTGGAGTCCCACTCCTATGCTCTTACTGAATCCTAGTCACTTCCAAAGCTCCCCTGTAAGTACTATGAGTATATGACTGTGGCCACTAAGTTTCTACCATTGACATTTGGAGATGCATTCGAACCAAAGCACCCTGGTTACTGCAGGGTTAGGAAGTGGATCATTCTTCTAATTATACTTACGATTCTCCTAAGAATGGAGAAATCGTACAAGCATCTGTGTATGCTTTCTTCTTTCTGAAACTGTGCATACTATCTGGCAGTGGGTGGGACTAGAGTTGACAGCATATTAAACAAACACCAGAACAGCTCTCTGTTGGAATTTGTAATTCCAACTGGTTTGTAGTCTAGGACTGATCAAATCTCCTCCCTAATTCCACATGATCTTGTCTGTGGTTTTCTTAAAGAAACAAAAGATTTGGAGTAAGTTAGGGCCAGTTTTCTTAAGAGCAATCTCCGCATCCTGTGTGCCCTTCACTGAGTGTGTGTAGCTAGTCGACATGTTCACAGTCATCTGTTCCCCAAGCTGATGTGTGAACATAACAGCAGATGCCCTGTTTTCATTGGGAAGGCTTCTTTGCACACACATTGCTTGGCCTGCCAAAGTAGGTCCCAAAGAGAATCCCAGGGGGTATGAATAGTCAGTGCGGAAGGAGCTAGAGTTGCAGGGCGGTGACCCTGTTGTCTACAAGGATGACAGCCCCAAACTCATCCTTCATGAGGGCTCATTTTAAACCATTTTTCTAAAGGCTATTTTTTTAAAATAATAGAGACTTTTCTCTAAATATTCACTCCCTTTGTATATGCTTTTTAATATATGCTTTTGTGGAAACACCTCCATTATAGCTAGAAATACTAGTCTGTGGCCAAAGGATAGATCATAGCTAATTCATCTAAGTTTGATATGTTGAAGTGATTCCTTTTCTGAATTATGAGACAATGAGTGTATGAATTACTTAAATAGGTGAACATTTTCTCCCTATAAAGGAAACCTTGTTTGCATACATATACACACATGCGCAAATTGAACGAAAACGTGCTAGAGGCAATAGGAAAATAACCATATTGAATTCTTTGGCCTCTTGGGAATGGAATGTTAGCTCACTGGACTGGAACTAGCTTGAGTAATTATAAGCCGGTAAATTATTTTTATTGACTTACTATTTTAACCCAGATGGCACCGCATAGCAGGTAACCCATGTAGGAGAATGCTGCCTCCCTCTTAATGTTAGTTTTTAAATTAGACAATTCACATGGGACTGTAATGCCTTCTTGAAAATTTATGTTTAGAAAGTTGAGCTGTATTTCAAAATGATGTCATAGCCCTGGTACATGGAGCCAGGCTTCCTTGGTTTTCTGAAAGAGAGAGGTAGATCTTTAGTTTTAAAGCCATGCTTTACAAAATCCAAGCCAGAGCCATGGGATGCTTTTAAATGAAATACTGACTTTGAAAGTGTGCTTGCCTTCTTGGTAAATGTTTCTGGTAAAAAGCTCTGTGGCCCATTCTCTCTGTTGCTACTTTTGTATTTTATGATCATCTCTCCTCATTGTTTTCATTCTGCTACATCTATGGTGGCTTCCTCATTTTTATTAACTTATTTCGTGTATTGGTGGAGTTTTTCGCTTTTTCCTTTTACAAGACAGTATTGTTGTTTTAATGTTTCTTTTTTCTTTAATGATGACTTAGTTACTGTTTTCATCTTTTTTACTAATTCATTTCTTCTGTTTTATTTTTTCTAATTTAATGAATTTGATGCTTTGATTCTTGCTTGTTTCAAAAACACAAAGTGAGGAGTTTTCCTTTTTATTGATGGAACATTGGTTTTGATGCACACGTGCTGCCAAGCAGTCTTTAGGAAATAGTCTCTAATTTTGGCTTTTATTTTTCTTTTAGCCAAGAGTTACTTCAGACAGAGGAAATTTTTTTCCCATTTGCTTTTGCTTAATATCTTCATAATTAATTTGTATTTATTGGTCAATTTTCTTTATTGTTTAGAGCCCAATTTGAAGTTTATCACCTTCATGGATGTTCATGGCTCATGAAAATTTTTCTTTTCTTATGTGTGCAGTATAGAGTTAAAAGAATATAAGATATGTCTGTGTGGTGATTAATTTTCTGTTACTCCAACAAAATATCCGAGAAAATCAACTTAAAAGAGGGAAAGTTTGAGTCTGGGAGGGTGGCACACTCTTTTAGTCCCAGCACTGGGGAGGCATTCATGGTTACAGAGATTTCATAATGTGGCTAGCTGGTTCCATTGCATGTAGGCCTGTGAGAGGCAGAACCATCGTGGTTAGATGTCAGATGAAAGTGCTGCTCATTTCATGGCTGCCTGGAAGCCAAGAGAGCAGAGAAGGAAGTCTGGAGGCTGGTCTTCTTCATTTTGAAGACCAGCCCCTAGTGATCCACTTTCGCCAAGTCCACTGAGCTAGGCACTCATCAGACCTTAATTCAGTGATTAGATTGACTCTCTCCAGACCTAGTCTTCTATTAATATCACTAGTATACCAGCTAGGGTCCAAGCCTTTACCATTTGAACCTTCTGGAGTACATCACATGTACAAATCATAGCAATCTGCCTTCCTAATTAAGTCACTTAAGTACCCTAGATTTTATATATCATTTAAAACTATTCTAGCTATCATGGGCTGACAGTATTGCTATTGTTTTTTGCACTAGAATTTTTTGCTCCATAAATGTTGATTCTGTGTTGTTTGATTCTTGGATATTTATATTTGTTAGACCATCACAGAGTACTGAATCCTTGATCCATAGTCACTGCTTAAATTCTTACCTCATGCTTTTCCTAGAATTCAAATTTGATGCCCTGGTAACATGGCTATTAAAAAAGCAGCATTTCAGGCGTTGAATCAGGCCTGGTTCAGGTTATTAAGACTTTCTGAGTGCTACTAATTTATTGCTAATGTTTATTACACTTGGAGTATTTAAGACTGAACAAAGTCACTTAGTTTCTCGAATCTTCACTTCAAATACATGCAAAAAGACCTATATGACAACAGTGATTATTTTAGTAGTTTTTTTTTTTTGGTTTGTTTGTATTTTTTGTCATTTCATCCTCATGATAACCCCATTAGGTAAGAACGATTATTCTGTATTTAACAGATTTAAAACTTGTAAAATAGGAAGGACAGTAACCTTCCTGTGACCATACATCTCTCTGGAGCAAGGCAGGACACGAACACAGACTTGTAGCCGTTATCCTGAGCAGCTTCTTTCTTAGGAAGAAGGAAGAGCACAGTTCACATCTAGGAGGGTGGTGGTGTTCTCCATCCTCTGGATGTGACTGAAGAATTGCACCTCTGTTTCATGTTTTTAAGAGCCATCCTCATGAACAGTTAGACTTTCCATACTGCCTGTTTATTGTTGTGATGCTTTTTAGTGAGGCTGAGATTATACTGTAGTGTTGTCTAATAACTGCTTCTTTCTAGTGCACTTTTCATTGTAGACCGAGCCTTGGGGCTAAGAACACAGAAGCACTTATCTAGTTGTGTGTGGCTTTAGGTAGTGCTGGGAGACAAAGCCCCTGTGGTCCAAGTTGAATTTTCCTTTTGCTCCCACTGGGAGATCAGGGTCTCGAAGAGGGTCACAGGTAGGCACAAGAACTCTTTGGGGAGCATGACCATTCTGACTGCAATGTTGGCTGCAGGACACAGGGTGTGTGGCCTGCTGCCTCATTTTCCCTGGGGAGCATATTGTTACTGAATGGGGCTTTCTTTAGAACAGTCTGAGCCTTTGCATTCATATGGAATGATTGCAACCCAGAAGCCTCAGCCTTTTGGCGTCTTTTGTACCGAAGAGCAGGCCCTACCAGGACTTATTACACTATGTAATTGTAATAATTAGAATAAAGACAAGTGGCCCAAGTGCTAGCTGAGGTTGCTAAATAAAATCTGTGCATCTCAGCCCACTTTTCTTTCCCTTATTATGACCTTCTGTTCTTCTAGGGTGACCGAGAAGCAGAGCTAGGGCTGCCTTTTTCTCCTCTGTGTGACAGAAAGTCAACCATGGTTGCTCAGTCACAAGTAGGTATGTATCATATTGGATGGAGGGGGCATCTCATGGCTGAGATGCAGAAGGGAGCACAGCCATGGGAGGTGGTTCCATCTGGCCACTGGCTCCCTAAGGCCAGGCTGTACGCATGGCTTTGGCTGCTGGGTGTGTGGTGAAGCCAGATCATTTTCTCTGGACTGGCTGTGGGGAAGATTACACAGTGACACTCTGGGGTCTCCATCATTCTTGCCAAGAGGAAAAGGACCTTCAGCTTTCTGAGGAGATGATGGTACTGTTGTCCAGAAGCCCATTTTGTTTCACACCCTCTGTCCTGCTACAGTCTTGGAAGCTGTTTTGACATTTGACATTTCTTTTCCTTGATGTGTCTACCCATATTTGGTACCATTCTATTTCCTGTGAACCTTTTTAAAATTGCTCCCATGTTCTACCTTTCTTTTTTAAAAAAGAATTTTTTTGGTAAGGATAACTTTGCACTATCAAGCATCATAATATGTACATTGTAAAAATCCTCATCTATGGTAGAGATAACAATGCCATCAGTGATCTCTACCTTAAGAGTCCAAAATCACTCAAGAATTAATTTAATAAGAATTGAATGGTTTTTCTGCCTTACCTTTTTGTTGAGACATGGTCTCATGTGGCTCACACTGGCCTCGAACTCCTGATCCTCCTGCCTTTGCCTCCCAAGTGCTGAGATTATTGGTGTGTGCCATCAGGACCAACTTCTGCTTGGACTTTGCATGATTATTCTTTTTTTTTTTTTAAATGATGTATCTTGAGTCCCTGTTAGGTGTTTGGCACTGCTAGGCATTGTAATATATGCTATAAAAACAAAAACAAAGTGTATACATGGTTCCTGCTCTCAAAGACCTTAAGCCAGTATTAGTCAGTGGACAACTTGTTATGAAAACAAATGTCCACTAGAGCATTAGAATGTGAAAATAGAAGTCTGAACATTTTGCAGTGGACTACAAAGACAGTGTGTGAACCATTAGACCCAGGTGGTCCATAAAAACTAACTGAGGCATCCTGTTTGAGATGTAGCCTAGGAAGCATTCAAGTAGTATCTAGACAAATAGTGATACATGTTAATGATGATTAGGACCAGGGTGCTACAGGCAGGAGATGTAGAAAAGCAGAGAAATTTAAGACTATGTAGTACGGTTGGTGAATTCTAAATAGCTCTATATAGCCAGAACAGCAGGTAGGGATTGAGATGCAGCGAAAGATATTCTGGAGAGACACTCAGACCCAGATTCTACAGTGTGCTAAGAATAGCACGGCTTGTACTTTCCTATAGGAAATGGGGACATATAAAAATAATTTTGTATAAAGCTTTAAAACCAATAGATTCATAGTTTAGCCTGTGGACTAAATTGAACTGACCACAGGTTCCTGTCAGAGTTTTATTATGCTGCAGCTAAGTTCATTCATGTACATATTGCCCGTGCTATTTCTACACTGCAGGGAGCAAGGTTGAGTCATTTTGATAGAGAGATACGGCCTAGAAAGCCTAAAATAACCATCTGGACTTTTGTGGAAAGTTTGCTGGTCCCCAGTTTAGAAATATTTCTTTACCAGTAGCATAGAGGGTTAAGTGGGAGCGGGGACAGGGTTGACTAAGCCTCAAGGTGAGGAGGCCAAGTGGACAGTCCTGCAGGACTATAGGAGAGAGCTACAGGACTAAGAAAGAAGGGCTCACACCCTTTTTATCAGAGTTCAGAGGCTGCCTAAGCCCCAGTCCCTGCACAACTTCCAAACAGCCCAGAGAGAGCTCAGCTCAAACATCACAGCCTCTGCACGACTGTTCACTGGTCTCTTGGCAGGAGAAAAACGTGTCCTCTCCCTTCTCCTCTACTGCCTTCCCAGGAACTTTCCTCTGGGCTGCTCCTTTGGCCCTGCATGAACTCCAGGGTCATTTTTGAGCTCCTTTAATCTTACACATAAGTGTGAGGGCTGGTGGATTGCTCTATTCATCTTTATTCATCACAGTGCTTATTACACAGCAGGCATTAAATTGGTTTTTCTGTAGCATTTAATTTAATTACTCATTGAAAAGTCTTAAGAAAATTATGTAGCATAAATGAAACTAACATGACATTCAATAAAAATGAGACCAACCAACTCTCAGTCTGATGTGGAGCTCCTATGTAGATTCTTTCTTTAAAAGGAAAGATGACTGGGAGACCTGGGTGGCCCTGTTACTCTATCATTCTCTGAGCATTGCTGCTTCTCTGCAGGTTTTATTGACTTCATTGTGGAGCCTACCTTCACTGTGCTCACGGACATGACTGAAAAGATTGTGAGTCCATTAATCGATGAACCCTCCCAAACTGGTGGGACAGGACAGAGGCGCTCCAGGTCAGTGGGAATGCTTGAGAGCTGGATGGGGTCCAGCCTGTTTGTGGGGATAGAATTTTCCTGTTGGGAGGATGTATGGTATCTTATAATGAGTGTGCCTTCCTTGCATGCCACAAGCAAGCTATCTGCCTCCTTCCTTTCTTCAGAGGATTTGGAATGACTACACTCTCTAGGCTGGCCCATAAGAGGTGGCCAAAGGCCAAAAGGGGCCTGCCAAGTACTGGGTGTCTCCCATTCCCTCTAGCCCTTGCTACAGCAGCACCAACCACTTCACTTTTGTCTCTTGTACCTAGACAGCCCTTGTCCTAATTTTGTGAAAAGGAAATGCTGCTGATTTGAGTTATTACAAGAAATAAAATTAGCATTCATTCTGAAGTTCAGGAGGAATTGGAGTATGGATTAAAAATATCGCAACCTAAATATTTTCAATTGCCTTCTGCCACAGCATGACCACATCAAATGTAGAATAGTGTAGATGGCAGACTTTGGGGCCAGAGTGCAGTGTTAAAATCCTTTCTCCATCCATTATTACCTGTGTAGTCTCAGACAAGTTAGCTGGGTGTCCTAGTTTTATTTCCTATTGCTGTGATAAAATACCTTAACAAAAGCAATTTTTAAAAGGAAAGGACTGATTCAGCTTACTAGGTTACAGCCTTTCATTGAGGGGAAGTCAAGGCAGGAACCAAAGCAGCTCATTGTATCCACAGTTAATGACAGATACAGAATTAATGCATGCATAACTCAGCTCATTTTTTCTTCTTTCATACAGTCCAAGGCCCAAACCCATGGCATGGTGCCACCACAGTGGGCTAGGTCTTCCCGCATCAATTGACATAATCAAAATAATCTCCCATAGATGTGCTCACAGCCCAACCTTATCTAAATAACTCTGCATTGAGTTTCTCTCTGCAGGTGATTCTAGATTGTGTCAAGTTGACTGGACTGCCCTGTGGTAACCCTTCCTTATAGATTAGTGGATCTGATTCCTTTAGCTACTTAACACTGTGAGATGCTTCTTTAGAAGGATGCTAGTTCTGATATTTGCAACATATGCCATGTTGAAAGCACAAAATAATCATCATCTATAATCAGATCCTTTGCTTGACCTGGTTGTGCACAGCCTCTAAGTGGTCAGTGCCTCCTCACCATCTCTAGGAAACATAAGGGTGTCATCACTGGTCCTGGTCTTAGGGGACTGAGATTAGAGGGATCTTGAGGGCCAGTGAGATGGCTCAGTGGGTAAAGGTGCTTTCTGCCAAGATTGACAATTCTAGTTCAAGCCCCAGGACCCACATGGAGGAAAGAGAAAACTCACTCCTGAAGGTTATTCTCTGAACTTCACACATGCATCATGGCATGCACACATTTAAATAGATGATAGATGATAGATAGATAGATAGATGATAGATACATAGATGATACATAGATAGATGATAGAGAGATGATAGATAGAGACAGATGATAGATGATAGATGATAGATTTATGATAGATGATAGATAATAAAACACATAAAGTTACAGGAGGAGGGTGGAGCTGGGGACAAAGAGCAGCAATTTTCTGGGTAACTTGGAAAAGTGGTCTTTATGGTAGCAGGTGGGTGCACTATGAACAAATTAATGTCCAACTTCGGGGGACTGGAGAGATAGCTCAGCATTTAGAAGCATTTTCTGCTCTTGCACAGGACCCAGGTTCAGCTCATAGCACCTGTAATTCCAGTTGTAGAGGATACAGTACTCTCTTCTGGCCTCTGCAGGTGCCAAAAAACACATGTGCTACACATACATACATGCAGGCAAAACACTCATACATATTTTTTAAAAGTCCAAGCTCAAATTTTCTCATTTCAGAAAACAGAACAGAAAAAAAAACGCCAGGGGAATTTAGTTACCAAAGAAGAGAAAGCCCACTCATTGCTGAAGGAAGTAAGGGATATTGAGGCTCAGGAAGGTTTAATGTTAGTATTTTTTCTCCTGAAACAGAAGTTTTTATGTGTCCTATGTGGGTCAGCACAAACCTCGGGGCCCAGGAGGTTCACGGCAGTGATGAGTACAGCCACTCTTCTTGTGGGTGTTCCCCTTGCATTCTGAAGGCACTGATGCTCTCTCATATGATTTCTTTTCTTTTCCAGTTTGAACAGCATCAACTCATCGGATGTGAAACGTTCAGGTGTCAAGAGCTCTGGATCAGAAGGAAGTGCCCCCATCAACAATTCTGTCATCCCCATTGACTATAAGAGCTTTAAGGCCACTTGGACCGAGGTGGTGCACATCAATCGGGAGCTATGGAGGGCCAAGGTACCCAAAGGTAACAAGCTGCTCAGGAAGAACCTTCTAGAATTGTCCAAACCAACTCCATGTCCATTCATTCATAAAGCAAGTGCTGCCTTCTGTGGTTCATAGGCATTGCAGGTAAGCGCAGCTCCTCAGGAGGCTGCAGGTATTGAATGCTGAGTCTCCCATTGCCAAGCATTCTGGGAAACACTCAGCACCTAGTAGAATGTGACAGGCTTCCAAGCCTCTTGGCACCGTGCCTTCTGTGTAATAAGACTGGACTCCTTTCCCTGGTATGAAGTTCTGCAGGGTCTGGGGTTAGTAGTTCCTTCTTCATTTCTATAAGCAAAATAGACTTCCTTGGTGCAAACATCATCAAAGTTCAAATAAAAAAGTTGTGGCTCCTGCCACACAGAAAAGGATGGAAGTAGGTGACTCCTGGGAGCTTGAGTTCTTTGTTCATGTGTTCATTTGCATCACTGAGCTCATCTTTATGATCAGCACTTAGAATGTGATCACAGTGTGTTGTAGGCAGAGAGGCACGATGCTCAGAGATGAAGGAAGTGAATCTGTGATAACAGGAAAGGACGCTGATGTGAACCGATCTTGGGGCCCAGTAAAGGGACTCAAATCATGGCCTTTGCAGAGCTGAGCCTTCAGCAGCAGTCAGTGTTAGCTAGCACCTGTTGTGTACCTACTATTTTCTAGGCTCTGTGCTCAGTGCCAAGGGGACAGAGAGGAGTGATGGACATCCTCATCCTTAAGGGTCATAATACTGTGTCAAAAGAAAAGGGGAAAATTATGTTAGAGTTTGATAGAAAAGATGAATAAGAATTCAGTCAAGACCTTGTGTTTCTTACCATCATCTGAACCCCAAACTCAGAGAAGCCAAGGAAGGCTTTGCCACAACTGTAACCCCTGCAGTTACTCTGCCTGTGTCAGCACATGTGGACAGCAGGTAGAGCGGCCGACATCTTAAGCAATTTTTGTTTCTCTAACAAAATAATTGCTACTCGGTAATATTGATTCAGGTCACAGTTCTGGAGTCTGGAAAATCCAAGAGCATACTGTTAGCATCTGAGGAAGGCACATTTACCTCATGCCAGAGGCTTCCATGGAGAGACAGAGCATGTGTGCAAGCCTAGGTTTCTCTTCCTATAACCCCACTGGTGCCATTATGGAGGCCTTGCCTTCATGGTGTGGCCTAATCCTCACTACCTCCCTAAGGCCCCTCTTCCAATCTACATGTAAATGTAGGGATTCTGTTTTCAACACATGAAATCTGGATGACACAATATGCTATGCAGCCATCAGGAAGAGAGGTCACCTCTAGATTGGGAGCCAAGCATCCTCACAGTCAGATTTGTCCAAAGGCTAAACACTATGACTTGCTGGCAGAATCTTGTCCAAATGATTGCTTGTTTCAGGCAAGGCAAAGGATTTGAATTTATGATGCCCTTAGGATATAATTGGAACCATGCAATTTTGTGACTGATGTTACACCCTGAGCTACGTAAGGAGCAAAGCCCCCTCCATATTTTAAGTGTAGTAAGTGCTCAGAGTCCATTCAAATGCTTTCCATGTTTAAATCCCCCTATTGGCAGGCATTGCAAACAGCAATGGCAGCTACATCATCTGAAAAGAAACACCTTCTCACAATCAATTACATTCATTACGCTTGAAAGTCCAATTTCTGACAACACACAATTCAAAGAGGAACTTCAAAATAATTTGTTTGCAATTATCTTGGTTACTGAAATTACTTTCTGAAACTAATCACCTGTGAAAGCATTAGATGTTTCTTTTCTAATGGAGAACTGACCCTTTCAAAAGGACAGGTAAACCCCTCATAATTTTAAAACTTGCTGGCTATGCAAGTAGAGATGCAGATAAGCTATTTTAAGCAACAGGAAAGTACTTGCTCCGAACCCTGCCTGGGCCTTTAGGGAAGACATTAAGTAGCCAAAATTGGAAGGATGCTGGGGTTGATGTGGGGACATTAGAAATGGGAAGTGAGGGTCAGGGGACCATGGAGATAATGTAGTTGGTGAAGTGCTTGTAAGAATATGTCTACACGGTGACACATGTGTGTGATTCCAGTGCTGGGAAAATACAGACAGGCCAATCCCTGAGGTTCATTTGCCAGCCACTTTGCAAGCTGCAAGCCAAAGAGTGACTCTGTCTCAAAAAAAAACAAAAGAAAAAACCAAAGTGGATGGCACCTGAAGAATGACACCCGAGGTTGATGTCGGGCCTCTACATGCTCCTACACACACACACACTCTCTCTCTCTCTCTCTCTCTCTCTCTCTCTCTCTCTCTCTCTCTAAAGGGATAAGGTGAGAGGCAAATGGATCAGGTACACCCCTAGATTGTATTTTAGGGGTTGCATAATTTGCTTATGGGATCAAATTTTAGTTAGAAAAATGGAGAATTGAATCCTAACTCAAAAGGTTTCATTCAGTGTGGTTCTTTGAGACTCCATTCTGGGCATGGGAATACATATTTCAGAGTTGATGCAGAGGATAGAGAAACATTTGTAAAGCCCTAAGAACAGAGTCAGTCTCAGTGGTTAGAGCTTGGTAGATGGGGCTGACATTTAAACACATTGGAAAGGAAGAATAGCCATTGTGTGCAAGGTTCAGGCACTGACAATGAAATGATCACCTCAACGCACACGTTCCAACATGTTTAGCCCTGAGTAGTACAGTTTACTGATTGACTGATGTAAAAGAAATACCTAGTTTGCATTTGTCTACTGTTGATGGTCAACTGATGATACCAAGCTATTTTTCTCCCATCTTTTTTTAATCCCAAAGGACTAAATTTTGAGACAATCTGCCTTCCCTGTGACTTGATACATATTGTTAGGAAATTAAATTAAATTCTAGGTTTTATTATCCAGCCTGAATTATGGTGTCATGCAGGGCAGAATCCATAGTTGTTAAGGAGATTAAATCAGTATTTTTTGCAGTTTTCTGGTTCAAATATCATTATATCCACCCCCAAATTTGTGAGTATAACTATTGTTTGCTAATTTCCACCCAGTATTTAATGCTTTTCACATGCTCATTTCCTGGTGTAGGAATGATGTCATTAGATTACAAATGATGAAATATTTAAAATACATATGAAGAAAAAAGCAAAACAATTATTTCCCTATCCAGGCCTAGAGAACTCTTGCTAAAATTCAGAAGCCATTCCAATTTCTCTTAGATGTACAGAGGTAAAGACACGTTTCACAGCACAGTGCTACCTTGTAATTCTACTCTGTTTCCTGTCTTGGGTGTTTGTCCTGATGCTGAATAGTCTGATGTAAAGTTGTCTGGATAGAACAGTTACCTAGCCTTAGCTTTCCCATTCACTGCTGCATATAATAATGTTACAGACATGGACATTCAAAGGTCTTTATGGAATCCCTCTCTCAGTGGAGGTAAAAATTTTTAAATCTCTTTATATCAAATTGCTCTCTGGACTTTTAATTTTTAATTATTTTTGAGAATTTCATATATGAGTATTGTCTCTGCATGATTTCCATCCCTCCCTGTCCCCCACCAACTGCTCCCAGGCTGGACTTCTTTTAACCAGTTTCTTTCACACATGGAAGTGTAGTGAAGCTATTTCTCTTTGCTAGTCCCTTCCTCATTCTTCCCATTGGGACATCTACATTTTTATTATTGGTTCATACCGATTTTTATATATTAAAAATAACTGTTTAGTTGTCAAAATATCTTGCAATTTCCACCCAGCTCCAGTTTGCTGTAAGCATTTAGCTTTGCTCACAAGTTCTTCTACCTCCTACTTCTACTCTCCTAGAAATTTAAGGGTTTTTTAATTGAATAGTAAGTTTCTATAAATAAAAACATGGACTGATATATAGTGATATTCCTTTGAAAATGCTGAGAAATTAACTAATTAATTTGTGATTGCTTTTTTAGCACTCAGACTTTGTTGAATAATATGGAATTCTCAATTTAGATGATTAGAAATCCCATTTATTTTATATTCAGCTTAATTTTGGACATTATTTTAATATTTGCTTCATTTTATCTTTAGTTTAATACTTCTATTTAACAATAAGTTTTGCAGGTTCGTATACATTATCAACATATTTTCCTTGGTTTTGAGGGTTTTTTTAAAGACCATTTTTGCCTGCATGTATGTAAGTGGCACCTGTATGTGCAATGCCTGAGAAGGCCAGAAGGGGGCATCAGATCATCTGATATGGGAGTTACTGACAGTTGTTAGCCATCATGCGGGTGCTGGGAACTGAACCCCAGTCCTCTGCAAGAGCAGCCAATGCTCTTAACTGTTTAGTCATCTCTCCAGCTCCCTGATTTTGAGTTTTTAATATTGATTGAAATTTTTTGTCAGCAGCATACATATTTGACTAAAGTTCCTCAGAAGTTGTTACAGGAACACCTGAGATTTTGGGGATGACTGGTGCTGACTTTCTTTTGTTTCTGTATGGAATATAATTGAGTATGTAGTGTGTTTCTTTGGTCAGACAGCTTCTTGTTTCTTGTCTCATTTTTTCTCTGTCTATGTCCTTGTCTCTGTTTCTGTCACTCTCTCTCTCAAAGTTCACATTAGATCAAGAGATAACTAGGAACTTAGTTTCCACTAAGGAACTTAGAGAATCATAACTTACAAAGAAAAATTGAATAAAGTGCATTTTTGAGACTGTACAGACATCCAGTGGGGGTGGCACTAGGATGTTTGTGTGAGAATCATAATTTATATTATGAGTGTTCTGCCCCACACTTCAGCTACTTTCCTTTGGCCATTTCCATATTGAGTCACATCAACACAGATCGTTTGAAATGGAAGCAAAAGGAAACAGACTCTGAAGTTTGCAGTCTAGTAGCCCAGGAATGCCAAGAGTCTAAATCTAAGACCTGATACATAAACTCTCTGTGTCCTTGGCATTGCTGGAACCTGCTACTCTATAATTAACCGTGCTTTCACCTACCTTTTCTCATTATAGAACAGTATTATCTGTGCTAATAATCTCGCTTGAGGACTATAAAGGGGTTTTACTGCAGTGGAAAATAAACCAACTGTCTTTTGATGTAATTTCTTCTTACATATGTCTTGTATATCTATCCATGTTGACTGATGCCTCTTTATCTGTTCCATGGCTGATTATACTCACAGAAGCCCAAGGTAGAAGGTGATTATGCAAGTCAAAGAGTGTTGCAGGCCAGGGCTAGAAGGTGATAGAAGGTTGATGCTGAGAGAGGAACCACACTATGTAGGCCAACCAGTGTTTGATCTGATCCCGATGTCATAAGAACTACTTTTCATTCATTTAAACTTGCCAACTGCACTTGAGCAAAAGCAGACCTGCTACTGGAATGTGCTCCTTCCCTTCGTCCTTCTTTGTATCTTTTTTTTTTGCAGAGTCTCCCATGGAAAATGGTCTGACTTGGTTGTCAAAAGAATTTTTCTTGCTAATACAGTATTTTATGGTCTTTCATAGCAAACCATATAATTTAACACCTTCATTTTAAATTATAGTTATTTTGAGTGTTGAAAGTTTGCCATGTATTCAGTAACGATTCTGTGAAGGTGGTCATAGCTAATCTTCCCTGATAGAGAGTTCTAAATATGAATTAATTTGCCTCTTGTCACCTGAATTCCCTCTGGGTCTCCTGCACTATCTAGCAAACCATATAACATATCTATATATGCATTTATTAACTTACAAAGGAATGAGTACCCAGTGCCTAGCCCCGCGCTGCAGCTCAGAGCCAGCCATACCAGACCACACCACGCCCGTAGTCACTGCTAGCCTCCTGGGGCCAGCAATCTCTCCCCAGGTCCACAAGAGTCAGTCCATTCTGTCCTTGAGCTGCTACGCATTCCCCACACCACTCGCACTACCTGCAGCTTTCGGCTTCTGTCCCAAGATGCTCCCAGCAGTCGCTTAGTAGTCCATGCTTGCAGCAGGCCCCACCCCTTGGAGGAACTAGCCAATTGGGAGACAACTCCCCTTGCTTCTTTTCCCTCTGTGTTGTAAGAAGTCATCTGTTTACTCACCATTGTTACACATTAAAGACACATTCATCAGGTATCTCAGGATAGGATCAAAGAGTCTGGATACTTTGTGTTTCTGTCAGTCTAAGCTACTGAAAATGGGGGATGTATAAATAGGGTACATTGGTAGTTCATGTAAAACACACACACTACACACACACACACACACACACACACACACACACACACACACTGTAGGTCGCTCACTGGAACAGCAGTAACTTCAGGAGCCATGACATGTGGCACATGCTATGTTGAGCAGTGATGGAAATGATATTTGACCCCATCCATAAGACACCAGGGATAGGAGGGAGCCTGAATCAATATGCTGGGAACCTCTTTTGCCTGCCATCTTTTTAAAGGACAGTCTTTCACATTTTAGCTTACAATTTGGTAGGAGTCAGAGACATTATTCTACATATGGATGTAGTTATGTTGTTTATAAAGAAATATTATCTAACCCTTTCCATGTAATTGTAAATGCATCTTGTCATGAAACATGGATTGGCAAACATTTAGATTTAAATCAGGCTTCTCAGCACTTACTGTGTGGTAGAATCACCCAGAAAACATTTTAAATATTCTTGTCCTCCTTTTAGAACCTGATTTAGCTTGTTTGGGTTAGGCCAGGTCATGGATGTGGATAGAGGAATGAGTGGGTTGGCATGGATGAATGGGTGGACTGATGGAATGATAGATCAATTAAATAGTGAATAAAAACACTATAGTGTATTAAAGAAGACATCTGGGGTAAGCAACAGTGAGGGACTGAAAAATAATAATAAAGTCAGGCTTTGTGAACATCTGGAAAATGTTTGTGATAAAACCTCATGAACCCATGAACCTAGACCACAATGGGATTTGGAGTACTTTACCTGCTAAACCAAAAGGAAATTATCAGAAGCATAACTCCTCTGGTATCCAGAGATTAAAACAATCATACCATCTATGAAAAACAACTTTTTAGAAGACCAAGCCTAGCACAAGGGAAAGACAGAGGACCCGTGATGAGATGCAAAGAGGAAAATACAATAATGCATCACAGTGGGGGCTGATGACGGTCTGGACACCTTCTGGAGTGAGCTGAATACTCTATGGGGTGAATTGGAGCTTACAGAGAATTGGGCTATGTGAGCAGTCTCTGTGTACGTTGTAATCTTCAACCCACCAGTTGGCCTCAAAGTCTCTGTGATCCAATCTACGCCTGTCCTTGCTCATTTGACCATGGCATCTATGCCACCTATTTTCTAGTTCCTCTGCTGAAATCATGGTTAGATGATTTGCCCCGCCAGCTTCTCGTCACCCAGGATGTGGACAGGTATCATCTGCTCAAGGAAGCCTTCTTCACCCCTGTCCAAAACCACCTTTTTCTCTGTGCTAGCCATGCTCCATCCTGTCCCTTTGTATTCAATTCTCACAATATACTTTCAAACCATCTCAGCCATTCGTTTACTTAGTTATATAGCCTTCTCATGCATAGTTGCTCAATAAATATCCGTTGAATGAATGAACCAGCCTTTTCACAAATACTTAACCTGTTCACTTCTCCTGCATTATAATGAAGCACAGCATCAGTCAGCTGGATGAGAAATAATGTGCTCTCTAAGTAAAAGAGAGGGCCTAGAGCAGGTACCTGGCCAATGGGAAGTCAGACTCTCCTGAGGTCAAGCTGGAGTCCTCAGGGTTTGGGGTTTGCTTTTATTGTGTGAGGGTCAACTACCCCCCCCCCATTTTTAAATTCATAAGTTACAAATTGACTTTGTTTTGTCCTAATGATGGTAACTTGCCCCAACTTTTCACTTCATAGCCTGTTGCTTATGTTTATATTCTAAGCCAACCTTCATAAAATGACTTTTTTTTTCTACGACTGGGGGACAATTTGGTCTTGTCTCTCGGCCTCAATGTCTACATCCATAAAATAGGGCCACGGTGGTAGCTGCTGAGTGCTTAGCATAATGCCTGGCATTAAATATGTGCCAAACTGATTTGAATTAACCCAAAATATCTTCAAAATTCTGAGTAAACACATTAGGTCGTTTAACTGACCATTATTCATAAAAGCAGCTCTCCTCATGGTGTGACCTTTTTCTCTTTCCTCTGCCTTCTCTCTTGGGCATGGGATGCAGAGGAGAAGGCCAAGAAGGAAGCTGAGGAGAAGGCCCGCCTGGCTGCCGAGGAGAAGCAAAGGGAAACGGAAGCCAAAAGCCAAGCGGAAGACAGTGCATCCGGCAAGGCTGAGAAAAAGGCGTCTGCGGAAGCCAAGAGTCAGGTCGACGGAGCGCGCACAAACAGAGGAGACAACCCTCGTGGGAAGAACCCTAAGGGCGAGAAGTCAGAAAAGCAGCAGAATGGTGAGAATCCGGTGGTGGTAAAGGCTCCTTCTGGGGGTGATGATGTAACAATGGAAACTGGCGGACGCCTTCTGCGGAAGCCTCCCTGAGCTTCCAAAGATGCAGTCAGGAGCCCATCGGATGGCCATCAGCTTTGGGTCATACATTCTACTAGGCGTGGGGGATGTAGAAGTGGAAAAGCTACAAGAAACCCACGGTGTTATGTGGGATCTAAATAATTGTGAGTCTAGAGAAATGTGTGCGTGATGCAGTGGCAAGGGAGGGGGAAGTGGCAGATACAATGCCAAGGATTCTGTGCAAAGGAAGAGATATGTTTTGTTGGGAGCAGGGGTTATGGAGCAGAGTCAGAGGCCTAGAAGTGTTCAAGAGGAGATGGTATTTGGTTCAAAGTTCAGGTTTGTTGGTCAGGTTGGAGAGAGACTTCTTAGCCAGAGAGCTAAGTCAGGAGCACAGAATCAGTTTACCTTCTTACGGAAGAGCAGGAAGTGGGTGCTTGTGGGATGTAAATGCCAGGCTGTGGCTAGATAGCAGGGTACCTTTGCAATCACACCTGGATTGGAGTCACAGTTCTGCCTCCTCTCTTGGAGGCCTTAGCTAGATTACTTAACCTTTCAATCCTTGTGTAAAATGTGCATAACACAAAAAAAATCAACAAATTTTAAAAAATGTATTTGAGGAGGAAGCATGGAAATTTACATCATGTTAATTAGTAGAGGTGATAAACATTACCATTGAAATCTACCTGATGACTTTATAGACATACACAGGCACCAAGGATCCAAGTGCAACCGATTATGAGTAGTAATAATCAGATACATACAGATTAGAGATGCATACACCAAC